GGGCAGGCAGGTGTCTTGCTCAGCGGTGGCTTGGGGGGCACTTTTTTCAGTGCCATTGTAACTTCGAACAGTCACTAAGCAAACTTGTAAGTCGAGGACTACCTGTACTTTATCACTTTGTTCCTTTTGGGGGGGGGGGTCATCAAGTTTTTGACACCTTGCTAGGCGGCTGGTGGTACTCGGATACTGCCATATCCTAAAAGTGGTACAATGGGCGAAAAGGTTGAAAAGCCCTGCACTAAACCAATGCTTTTTAAATTTGACAATTTTAAGATGTGTGGACTTCAACTCCCAGAATTCCCCAATACACACATTAAAGTTGCCACTTTTGAAAAACACTGAACTAAACCAACAACACATCACCACTCAGTAATGGTAATCTTTCTGCTCCCTTGGAAGGCCAAACAGAAATGAGCAGTCCAGGGTAATGATAAAAAAACCATATTATTCAAAAGTTCAGACTAAAGAACAGCTTAAGCATTCTTTTCAAGATCGTAAGTCGATTGTAACTGCGAACGGTCACTAAATAAACTGTTGTAAGTCGAGGACTAACTCTATTCCCAACCCGCCAACGAAACGGCCCGTTCAAAATCATGAACCCCAGTGAACAGCGGGGGGGCCCTCCCCCTCCCCCTCCCTGAGCCATCCACATTTGGTAAGCTGGGGTTTCCCAACGCCGAGAGACACAGAGCAGCCGGTTTAACTGGAGGGCAACCTGGAGCGCCGTGCAAAAGACACGTGGGCACCGCTCGGCTCCAGCCAAGCTGCTTTTCGGGTGGGTCCGCTGGCGTCACTCTTATTGCTCCCGGTCGCCAGCAGCAACGGCCACAAACAGAGCTCCTGCCGACCCCCTCAGCTCTCCTCTCCGTCCGCCCACGGCCCACCCTTCTTCCTCTCCTCCTTCTCCGGCGCTTTAGCGCCACACCCAGCTTGCCCTCCCGCCTCGACCCACCCAACCCGGGCGCTTCTCGTCTTCTCGGTCCGACGAAGAGCATCTTTTGCTAGCTCGCCTCGCCCCGCGCGAGGAGGCTCCGTCGGTGCAGACTCTCCGTCCGCCCGCCCGCCCGCCCGCCTTGGAAGTAAGACGGGCGCTGGGAGAAGAACAGCGGGGCTGGGGAGGGGGGACGGGGGGAGTTCAGAAGGAGTTCAGGCAGCCGCGGGGCGGGGCTCTTAAAAGTTGAGGGGGAGAAGGAAAGAAAGAAAGAAAACAAAAAAAAACAGTGTGTGCAACTGAGGGGCGTCCAGAGTTTAAAGCCACCCGCTCGGTGTGGTCCTGCTTTCTGAGGGGAAATTCAAAGAATTAAAGCCAAATTGGGCCGGGAGAGAATATTTAGGCTAGAAATGGTGTGTGTGTGGGGGGGGGGGAATTGCTGAGTGTTTCTGAGGAAATGAAGTGCGTTTGCTGAGCTGCTCCCCCCCACACACACACACACGCGCGCGCGACCTTTTTGCAGGGCTGCTTTTCGAGGGAGTTGGGGGAGGTTGCCGTGTCAGGGCGCCCCATTCCGGATTTTCCCTTTTGCAAAAAGAAAAAAGAAAAAGCCCCTCCCCCCCCCCTTGATTTAATTTTGCAGCAGGAGGCAAAACCAGGGAGGTATTGTTTTTTGTTTTTAATGGGGAGACGCATGCATTGCCAGTGTGGCTTTGGCAATATGGTGTGTCTGTGTTGTGTCAGTGAAGTGTGTGTAACAGGCTGTTTTAATGGAACAAATGAGCAGCAAAGTGTATAAGCAGGGGTGTCCAACCTTGATAACTTTAATCCCAGGGGAATTCTGGGAGTTGAAGTCCACAAGTCTTGAAAGTGGCCAAGGCTGGACACCTCCTGGTTTATTAAAAAAAAAAAAGAGAGAGAGAAATAGCGAAGATTTCAAGATAGCCCAGGCTTGATTTCTCCATAAACAAATTCTGAAGAGATTTTGAAATGAACCTAGCTGAAATGGTGTCACCCACAGCTTTATTACATAATCTACAGGTTTACAAACAAAGTCTGTGAAAACTTTTGTTCAATGCATTAACTAAATAGATCCTTCAGATTTAAAGGTAGTATACCTTGAAATAACTGTCAAGGAATAACAGGAAAAAAATGTGCAACCTTGTGGTTGGCCAGTATATGAAAATAATGGGTGCCCTTAAAAAAGCTTTGAACAGAGTTAAGGGTCCCATTCCCCCCCCCCCCAAGAATGCAGCTCTTTTGGTGCCACAAAAGTTTTAATTAAGGGAGATGTGTCTGTCTCTCTATTAATACTGTACTGCAATATTTTCTCAGGACAAAAGATCAATATTTCCTAAAGCTAGTCTGGTGAGGCAAGGATGTTGTAATGGATCCTAGGTGTGGCCCACATCAAGACTGAAGCTTCATCTAAGTGCTGTCTTGAGTGCTGTGCATGTTACAATGCAAAACACAATCTGGGCAGCATTTAATGAGAGCAGAGGATAATTGTACAGTAGATGGGACACTATGGAATAACAAAATGTGTATTTGTATCAGCAACACAGAGACATGCTGTATTGTTGAATACATTTTTCTGTCAGGAGAAGAGAGGTATTTTACTAAGGGGATGTATCCATGTGTGACATGACTGACATCCATAAGTTTATGTCATGTACTTCATTGTGAATGCTCCCAGTTCACAAGATGCTTGATAGTAGGAACCACTATGTGTATTTTTAAAAAAGATCTTATTTTTGCAAGATGCATATTTTTGCTTAGTTATCCTTAGCCTATTTTTGGTAGCATTATGACAAAACTCCAGAAAACAGAAATCTGTACTGTAAAGATTTCTCCTCCTTGCTCTATGCTGTTGTTAGTTGTTTATAACATAGTAACACTTTTGGCTGATAAGCATTGTTTCTTTTTTAATTCATCCCCGCTTCCCTAGTTGGTATTGCAATATGATTACTACATAACTACAGGACTATTAGATCTAGGCTGCAAAAATCCAAACAACCATTAGATGGCAGCCAATAGTTACATTTTCTAGATTTCTTTGCTGCCATCTATTGGTCTTTCAGAGTTTTGCAGCCCAGTTTGGTAGCCTTTCTGTTATCCACTAAGGCAGAAAGTTTCAAAGATTTCCAGGCTGTGGAACCTGTTTGTTAAGATTTTTTTTTTCCTGGAACCCTTCAATCAAGAGGCAAAGCTTTTGTGACAGAAAATAAACTGTGATTGAGTGAGTGAACTTTTTTTCCTCTTAATTTCTTCTGGAGCTCCATCAAGTTATCACGGAATCTTTGGTTGGGAAGAAAACAGTTTGAAAAACCTTGCACTACTAGAGCATGATGATGCTTTTTTAAAAGATTTTTTTTTAAATCCTATCTTTATTATTTTTATAAATAACTCAAGATGGCGAATATATGTGATACTCCTTCCTCCTCCTATTTTCTCCATAACAACAACCTTTTGAGGTAGGCTGGGCTGAGAGAGAGTGATTGGCTCAAAGTCAACTAGCCAACTTTCATTCCTAAGGGAGGAACTAAAACTCACACTCTCCTGGTTTCTAGCCAGGTGCCTTAACCACTGTAGGTAGTCCTTGACTTACAACCATTTGTTTAGCAACCATTCAAAATTACCACAACATTAAAAAAGAGACTGATAACTAGTTCTTGCACTTACAACATTGTTATACAATGCTGCAGCATTCCCACAGTCACATGATCAAAATTGGGATGCTTGCGAACTGGCATGTATTTTCAATGATTGCAGCATCTCAAAGTCATGTCATCGCCATTTGTGACTGTCCCAGCTGGTTTCTGACATGCAAAGTGATTAGTTTAACAATTGTGGCCAAAAAAGTAAAATCGGGTGTGATTCTCTGCCTTGTCTAGCAGTTGAAATTTTGGGTGCCAGTTGTGGTCTTAAGTTGAGGACGCAAACATGCACCAGCCACATTCCGTTCCATGGGGCAAAACTAACAGATTTTTCAACAGATTTTCCAAAACACTAATTCTCCTCATACAATAACCTTTAAAAATCTAATGCCATGCTTTGAAAACTAAGAAATCATATTTCTTTAAGGATAGATAAGAAATCCCTTGGGCTTTGACAGTAAATAATAATAAACAACAGCTATTTCTTGGCTGTTGCAACTGAAGTCTGTTTAATCTGTTTAATTTGTAAAATATATTCTATAGTTTAATCTACAAAGCAACAGTTCACGTAAAAGAAAGGAGTGACCCCTTGGTATCACAACCTTAGGAATTTTAAGATGTGTGAACTTAACTCCCAGAATTACCCAGCCATCATACCACACATTTTCATGTTGATGATTTTGAGAAACACTGTGTCAAAGCAAGAACATCCAATGTTAGCATTGGATGTTCTTGCTTTGACACACTGATCTAGAGAGATGCAAGGATAGAGACTTCCCTAGCTTTTAGATACAGGAAGTCCTCGATTTAAGATTGATTACTTGGTGACCATTCAAAGTTAAGACAGATCTCCCCAGATTACAAGCCAAGCAATTACAATCCAAGTAATCTTCCACCCCCACCCTGTGATCAGTTGATTACATTTTGGTAGCATCCATATCTGTCTGCAGTGTTCTGCAATTTTTGGAGTTTTGTTTTGGGTTTTTTGGCTGGAAACCAGCATTTATTTCTGGTTTCCAACAACAACAACAAAAATCCTCACTGGGCATAATGGGTTTGATGGCTATTCCATTTGCTTAATAACTGCTGCTTAATGACCGTGCAAAAAAAGATAGTAAAATTGGGTGTGGTCACTAATGAACGACACACATTACTACTGTAACTCTGGGCTCAATTATGGTTGTAAGTCGAGGATTACCTATACTCTGAATCACCTCTACTTATCCACTCACATTACTTTTCAACTCTCATTTTATCCAGTGAGTTCTGCTCTTTTCCATTTCTTCTGCTTTTGTGGGCACAATTCTGGGGGATTTTAGGGAACAGGAAACAGGAACCACCTCCTCTAAGATTCTGCCTCTTGAGTTTTCTGTACTTGAGACAACGCTTCAATTGTATCCTGCAGTGTGTAAGAAGTATTCCTACACCCTGGGCGTTGCCCCCTCTTCTTCGCTCAAGGTTTTTTGCACCAGTGCACGGTGGCTGAATATTTTCTCAATAACTGTCAGCGTTACCACTAGTAAATATGAATTTCAATCTCTCTTTTTCTCTCTTTTGTCCAGACTGTTTGTAACATTACATGAGGATGTTCCTTGATTAGTTGTTTATCCATTATTGTTCAGATGGCGGTTATATTTTCCTTTAAATTCTGCTCCTGTTATGATGTTATAAAGTCACTGATGAACTTGACTTTTGCAGGTTCCTTCATCAAGTGTATGTACATCTTTGAATGTATTTTGCAGGGTGAGAGAACGAATACGGTAAAATTGCACGTAGAATTTTGTTTTTGTTCTACCTTCAGCATTAAATCAAACCTTTATTACAGTCGTACACCAGCAAAAGAAGGGTGGGATACAAACAGTAATTTAAATGCATCTTACACGAGAGGAGTGGAGAGAGAGAGATGTATATATAATTTTACCTTTGGTATTGGTTAGAGAGTGTGCTTGTAAAAAATGTTAAGGTTATGAATCAACTCAAATGCACAGTAGCCTCAAATCGAAAACAATCTTATTTATTCTAGATTGCTCCATTGCAGGCTGCAGATCAAAGGTTACAAGTCTGAAGTTATCAAGAAAGCTCTTTGTATAGTTAGAAACAGCCTGTTGAAGAACATTGATAAATCCTACCCTCATTTTCTTAGTGCAAAGATAGGGAAAAGATAGCAGGATTCATTCAGGCAATTTGTTTTTCTGTCACCTGAAAAAAACAACGACATTGTCTAACAGTTTCTTCCTCTTGAGTTGACTGTGTGCAAAACAGCAGCTTGTAGATTAGCCTGGCTTTGCAAAATCCGCTGTTCTGTCACCCATTTCCCCCTTGTAGTCCCCAGGGAAGCAGCATGGCTGTGTGCGCTTCGGGCCTCTTGCAAAATATCCTCTACAGTTACACAGTTTCCATATAGTGAGTGCTAACAGGCAATTAAAAGCCATTTTAAAATTTACTTTCAAACATCTCTCCCTCTTGCAAAATATCCTCTACAGTTACACAG